CACAAAAGATTTATTCGCATTTAAATGCTGGAGTGCTCTAACGATAGCCACTTGTGGTTTTCCAGCCAAATATAAAGAAATCTCACTATCACGCTTGAATTCCATCACGAATAACTTTTATTCTGGAAAATTCTCACCAAAATGCTTTTGAACGCTTCTAAACAATATAATAATCTGACTCTGGAATAATTTTAACAGCTGTCGGGCGAGTGGCTTAGAAATGACAGCAGTCTGAAGTTGGTTGCAGTTTTTTCATCTCACCCTGTACATCCTCTCCTTCTGGTATCTCTCTTACAAAGGATAACAATTTTCAACACTTATATCTCTCATAACTTAAGAAAAAATTATTCGCATAAAATTGGAATTAAATGTTTTCATAATCTATTAGCGTTAAATAAAGAAGATTACTTCTGTCCCCTATATGTGATACCTCACCAAAATTTCAATTTTTTTCAAAAATTATCAAATATCTAATATATCTTACTTATGTCAGATATGAAATGTACAATGGACACTCCTTCGGAACTTCTCCTCTTAAGGGTCAACAATTTAATCATAACGCAAGCCGTAACTAATTTGCATACTGTTTTGTACACATGTTCAAATTCAACAACTGATCGCTACAATCTGGTGTTTACTGCAATGAAAAATGAGTTTTGAGCGAAATGGCCGAATTAACATTTATCATATCCAATTTCCTTTTTTCCCAAAATGTAAATAATTTGGTGGCGGAATATTATATTATTAACAAACATATATCATTGTACTTTAATGATTTGGAGCATAATATTCCCAAATGACGACATCAGGAGACAACGAATCAACCTTCAGAACCAAAAATACAGTTAGTAATATGACGGATACTAAAAACGGTTCCCTTTATGTTCACCCTTTTGTTGGTTAGATATGGTTTTTATGGCTCAGCATTCGCTGGATTAGTAGTTAGCCAATGCTATGAGATTACTCCGCCACAACGATGTAGGCATTCAGCCGAGTACGTAATTAGTTTCCCTTCATGTTTCAATTGCCATGTCTTTCACATATTTATTTTAGCTCAAGGCCAAATGTTGTGTTTCGCAATTAAAATAATTTGTTCTGTATTTTTTCTTATTTGAATGAATTTCGTCGCAATTTGTTTTGGGTGATGTTCATCGCAAATCTTCCCTAATTCCTCTTCTAATTGCCTAACATTATTTTTTATTAGTTCTATACAGAGTTTTTTTGCAGCCTTCATAATAGGCGTTAGTAGGCGGATATTTGTTAATATTTGTGTTCTCGAATTGCCCTTATTCGAATAATATGTAAATCGAAGTGGCAAATTTGCGAAGAATTTATGAATTGTGGAATATTTATTTGAATCCGAATGAGAAATATTAACGACGAATTTGTAATAAGAGCCAAGTAATGAAGCTGTGAAAATTTCTGGTTTCCAGAATGAAGGAAGTTAGTCTATTCAAAAGCGAATCATCTCTGCAGGAAATGTTTAAAATGTGACTGAACTCAATTTTGTTTGGCATAACATAACACTGAAATGGGAAGGGTTGAAGACCATCTTACAATAATATTCAATTTTGGATATATCGCCCATGCTAAAATAACCCCATATATTTGTTCAGTCCTTTGTCACATTTTCTGGCCGATTTATATAAAATCTCTGTTTGTCATAGTGGAGAAGATAAAAAATTTTCTGGGCGGTTTTAGAATTTCACAATTTTGGAACAATATCCAACCCTGAATTTATTTTCAACAAATTTGACCGAGGCTTTTGTACCTCTAGTACCAAGTAACATTGCTGTATAGTGCAAGCAATAGATATACCGGACCGAGTTTCACCAAATGAAAAAATACTGTTGAATATGAAAAAATCTATCCAGTTTTGGCAGATATAACACATTTGGTGGACAAAAATCGTAAAATCGGAAGAAGATGTATATCGAAGGTGTATACAAATCTGAACCAATTTCAATAACATTCGATGTCCGGTATCAAATATCATTCTTGTGTAGCTCATATTACGCATGTGAGGGAATTTAACGTCAAATTGGATAAAACATATATGTGGGAACTATAGCTATAGCTGAACCGATTTTCACCAAATTTTATGTACTTGCTTCTAGACTAAATTGCGTCGGATGTGCCAAAATTAAGGTCATTTGGACTCCCGAAATCGGTTGAATATATATTGGAGCTATATTTAAATTTAAACTGATTCTCACCAATTTGAATAGGATTCGTTCTTGAGCCAAACAAACGGCTCTAATAACCAGTTGGCCTTAAAACCTGATTTTTATACCTTCAGTCATATGGCTAGGGAGGATATATATCATTTGATACGGTCAGAACGTGCCTAATCGAAATAACGGTTTTAGACCCTATGTCAAATCCATTTCAGGAGATTTGGAGTCGATCTAGCGATCTAGCGTAATAAACATCCGCTACTTTCCACATTTCACACATTCCATGTTTTCTACTAACACAAGATCTGTTGTGAAGATGGGATATATTGGTCCATTCCCTCGGATACCACCCCCACAAAGGGTCAAATTTTTGATTACCCAATATATTATACAATACGAATTTAACATCCAATTCTATCCGGACTCGGCACATCCCAAGATCTGTAATACAGATGGTAGAGATCGGAACATACCTTCTGGTACTTCCCCCACAAAGGGTTAACATTTTGGATATCCATGGAGCTTTTAAAACGCGAAATTAACATCCGATTTCATTCAGACTTGGTACATCTCAGTAGTTGTCTTTAAGGATGTTAGGAATCGAACCATTTCTTCAAGTACCACCCCAACATAGGGTTCAAGATTTGAAAAACAAAATGCTCAAAGGCCAAATAAGCATCCAACTCTCTTCAAATTTCACACACACAAACATTTATGCTAACCCAAGATCTGTTGTGAAGATGATATATATCTGCGAACCACTTCTGGTACCTCACCCACAAAGGGGCACAATTTTCAATATTTTATTTATTTGTCATAACTTGCGAAACAGGTCAGCGATTCTTTACATATTTCTCTCAACCAGAAACCTGAGATGAATATAGAACTTATGATTTCGCATAAAATTGAATATAAATGTTTGATTTTCTTATAATTTTGCCTATACCAATATTTTATCTGTATTAAAATGGAATACTTCGGTCGACTATATCTGGTACTTCACATACATTTCAACATTTTCAAAAAATTTGCACATTACATTACGATACGAATTGGTTAATATTGGCCAACTGTTTCGGTACCTCCCCCATAAAGGGTCAACTTTTGAATATTTTTATTAACCCAAAGTCTGGTGTGAAGATGGAATATATCGGTCTACTCCTTCTGGTACATCCCCCACATCAGGGTTAAAAATTTGAGTGTCCATGAATCTCATAAAATGCGATTCCATTTAGACTCAAAATTTCCATCTACACATGGTACATATCGGACCATTTCTTCTGGTACCTCTCCCACAAAGGGTTCAAGATTTTTGAAAAACGAAACGCTCAAAGAAGGCGATATACGTATCCTACTCTCTTCAAATTTCACACATCTAATATTTTTCCCAACGCAAGATATCTTGTGAAAATGATATAATCATAACTCAAGTCTAAGGGTATACATCTGTTGGCAAAACTTGTTTGGAAAATAATATCCTATAGGCATTTAAAGGAACTTCAACAGTTAATAATCGCAGCCTCGGGACGAACTTTGACTTTAAGGAAATACTCGCGCTTAAGTGGAAATTTTGTTATTTTTGCACAAAAAATATGGCCTTTTTAACCCCCTAAATATTATCCAAAATTCATAGGTCTATGACCAATATTTGGAAGTGATACAGACTTTTTGGCCCAATCAAACTTAAAAAATCTAGAACCAATGGTTCTATCTCTCCACCATCCTTCATTGGTTAATGTTAAATATAAACGGCTCTAATAAGCAGTTGGTCTTAGAATTCAATTTTTTTTTATAAAATTTGTCTCTTTTGTGTTGGAATCATAATATTTAATATGCCTGTATATATTTTTTTATCTAAGGAATAAATTCACAGTCAATAGGACATTATTTTCAGTCACAGTATCTTTTGTCCTTTCATTCTCATAGGCCTTGCGGAAAGAATATTTTTAATAAAACCTCAACAATAATAAGAAGGAGGAATTTGTATTAGTATTTTACTTTATATAATAATTTAACTTTCTTTTAATATTGTTATTATTTATTTATATGTATATTTTCATCCCACAACAAAAGCTCCTTTATTTTCCCTTCCCTATCTCATTTATTTTATGGAAGTTTATAATGGAGCTTGTCTCGTTCGCTTCTATTCCACCAAGAATTGAAACACTTTATTTTAGTGGAGTAGACTCTCCAGTGAACCATTGAAAAATATACCCATCATTGTTTATCCCAACAAAAGAAGAAAGCCAAATCATGAAACGCTTTTAATTCCCAAAGAAATTCATAAATGCCAACTTTGGCTCATGGCTGATTATTTTTTTTTACAGAAAAATATTATTTAATTTTTTGAGACAGGCTCAGCCTTAAATCCTTAGATTTACATTTTGGGTTTGAGCCTGCACACAATAAATGTGGGAGAGAAATGACACTTGAACTCAATGTTAAATAGCCATTTGGGCAATGAAAATATGTTCCCAGACCAGGGGCAAAGGACTAGGTGTTTGGTTGTTTGTGTCCTTGTTATGATTTGTTTCTTAATACGGAATTTGCTTACAAATCAGAAAATTATGTTAATTTTTTGTTGTTTTTTGCTTTTGCCCAAACTGTCTAACAAATTGGTTGGCCATTGAGATTTATGGTAATGTCTGAACGTGTGTGTGTGTTTCCCTATATTGGGGGGAAAAACAACAACTCAAAGGACATGTAAGGATAAAATAAAATTATCATAATTTTCACAGCAGCCACAACTACTTCCTTTAACGATTTCCTTCATAAATTCGCTGCTAATGAAATGTTTTGATTTATTTTTTTTTAACAGACATTTGCCGGTTTCTTGAATTGCAACGAATGAATGCTGATGACACTAAGCCACAGATTTAATTGGGAAATGGTCGCAGATAATTAATCACTCCAACAACAGCTAAACAAAGCCAAGGCACTTGAAACGAGTGACAGCAGGAAATGGTATCGTCACATCGCCGATTACGGAGAAAACCCCAGAAAGTGGAGGAGAATCTGACAAGACGTAATTACTATGACCCGCTGTATAGCGCCTCGGCAACAGCCACATCTACATCCACTGCAAAATCGGCAACACTGCCGAGTGGCACAGCAATAAAAACAACGATTGGCATCAACAGCACCAGCCCGGCCATAGAGCCAATTAAAGCCATGGATTATTCGGAGGCTTTATTTGATTTTAATTTGAGCAAGGCGACAAATGACACCGCCACTCATTTGAATCATCAACTCTTCGAGTTGAATAACCTCTCGCATAGCATGGGCGGAGGAAGTGGCACCGGCAGCAGCAGCAGCAGCAGCGAGAGTAGCGCTGGCAATCACCTAACCTATGGCTTTGATGTTAACTCCACCATCGTGCAGGTTCTAGTCGATGCCAATGACAGTTCATCTTTGAGTCCTGCAACGCTTCTAACCTCATCGTCCTCTTCACTGTCATCAGCCTCAATGCTGTCAGCGGATGTCACAGCCATGCCAATATTGTCCGATTCCAATGGCGGTCTAGTTATGGACACATTACTGGGCTCCGTTATGACCACTGCCACCGCCACCGTTACATCGGCTGCCGCCAACTATCCGCTGGACAGCCTCTATGAAACGACCACCGCCATGGCCACGATTTCGTCAACAATGAAAAGCTCCAGCAATGAGTCGGCCTATTGGGAATTGGAGGCGTCGGATTTCGATTTCCTGTACCGCCATTCCCTGACCATGACCATTGTCTATTGCATTGCCTATGTGATTGTGTTCCTTGTGGGCCTGGTGGGCAACAGCTTCGTCATAGCCGTTGTCCTGCGCATGAGGAATATGCGCACAGTGACGAACTATTTCATTGTTAATCTGGCGATAGCCGATATTCTGGTCATAGTCTTTTGTCTGCCGGCGACATTGATGAGCAACATATTTGTACGTAAGTATCGCCATGGATTTATTAATCGACAACATTTGTTATTATTATTATTGTTATTGTCTTTATTATTTTGCTATAAATGACAAATATTGTTGTTGTTGATGTTGTTGTTGTTTAAATTGATTTAGAACATCAAATATCAAAAATGAAGAAATTGACATATATTAATATCCGCCATTAAATAGATATATTTGTTCTTCGGCAAAATGTATGGTACGGATGTGTGTGTGAGTCCAGATAACGAATTGCATGAATTCCGCTGTTACTTGATGCTCATCATTTATTCTAGGATTAATTGAGTTCGTTTTGATATTGATGGAAATATGTTTGTGCATATCAATCAGATTTGTATATCTTCCTTGTGTAACTGGAAGAGAATTCATTCATCTATTTTTTTGGCGTAAAGTTTATCCATCAAAAGGTGATTGTTTAGGAATATCATTTTTGTATTACCTTTATATATTTGGTTAAAAAATTACCCATTCAAAAGGTTTATAATATATATAAAATAAATTACTTCTTAATTTCAAGCTCTTGCCAAAATGGCTGAAAATTTAAATCGCATTTAAAAGAAGGAGCAAGTTCCTCCCTCATCCACACGTTGGGCAATTTTCGGATTAAGATTCCTCGGAATCCGTGCATTTAATGTATAAAGTGTCATCATATCGCCGATGACAGATAAAAATACGAGGAATGTTTTGGTGGAAAAATTATACACCCAAGCGAGTCAAGAAAGGTGTATTTTATATACCCAGAGCCATATGGCTAGAGAGGGTATATATCATTTGATAGGGCCAAAACGTGACACCTAGAAATAACGGTTTTAGATCCTGGGTCTCTTTGGACCAAATCCGTTCCAGGACATTTAGAGTCGATCTAGCGATGTCCCCTCGTCCGTCCGTCTGGCTGGTGCGCCCTATAACTCTCGAAGGGAGTATACGATTCAGTCCAAACTTGGCACATCGTAATATTATTATAAAACTTAGATCGATTTCAGAGATGGGAAAAATAGGTCCACTCCTTCTGGTACCCCACCCACAAAAGGTCGAAATTTTCAAAAAAATATTTTACTGTAAAGAAAGAGAAGGTTAATCCGATCCGAACTTCGCAAATCCTAATATTTATATCATAAAGAGTCAACATTCTGAAGATCCATGAAGCTCATAAAACGCGATATTTACATCTGATGCTATTCAGAATCGGTACATCTCAATATTTCCATCAACACAAGATCTGTTAAAGATGGGAGGGATGGGACCATTTCTTCTGGAAACTCCCCCACATAGGGTTGAAGATTTTGAAAAACCAAACGATCAAAGAAAGGGAAATAAGCATTCAACTCTCTTCAAATTTCATACATTCAAAAATTTTTGCTAACACGAGATCTGTTGGGAAGATGATATATACTGCGAACCCCTTCTGGTACCTCCCACACAAAGGGTCTATGATATCAACAACCAAAACGATTATAAAATCCGAAATAAACTAAATTTACATCCGATTCCAATCAAAATTGGAACATCTCAATATTTCCATCAGTACAAGGGCTGTTATAAAGATGGTTGAGATCGGATCATTTCTTCTGCTACCTCCCCCAAAAAGGGTCAACATTTTGATAAAAAAAAAAAAAAGAAAACAAAATCCGAAATAAGCATTCGGTTATCTTCAATTGTAACCCATGCCATTATTTTTACTAACGCATGATCTGCTGTGAAAATGGGATGTATCGACGTACACCTTCTGGCACTTTCCCCACAAAGGGTTCATAATTTTGAAAAAAACGATTTTAGAACGAGAAATAAACTTCCGAATCTCTTCAAATTTTACACATCCAAACATTTTGTTATGAAGATTTTAGATATCTACCAACCCCTTCTGGTACCTCACCCACAAAGGTCCAAAATTTCCTATACTTATATCTGTCATAACTGGCGAAGCAAGTCAGCGATTCTTTACAACTTGCTATATCTAAATATTTTTCTTAACCGGAAATCTGATAAGAATATGTGATTTATCGAAATTTCTTGAACAGAACAGTGACAGCATTTAGCAGCGACGTACGTTGAAATGCATTGCAAAGCCTTTTTCGCACGAATGGAAAAGTTCCTCTCTTAACAAGAGAGTACCATTAAATTTTTAAAAAATAAATGTTAACGCTTTTAACGTTGTCACAGACAAAAAGAAGGAACTAATGATGGATTTGGTAGAATCCAACTTCTACATGTGTGTTTGACAATCCTGAAAATGGTTCGAAGGCAACTTTTTTCAACTTTCTTTTATGAAAAATTATCTCATAAATAAAGTTGCCAAGTATGACGATGATTGTCTTCGGCATCATTTGCGTCTCCTCAACTGACATTGACAGCATCATTTCATTCTATTCTTTTCATTATTTGAGGGCAAGTGTGAACATTTCGTATCGCAAAATTCAACACTTTTTGGCTTTAAATAAATGCCACTCTCTCTCTCTCTCTCTCTCCCTCACATCACAATGGATGGATGGATGATTACACTGTCATTTCATTCAATGTTTGTTTGTGAGTTTTTGTGTGTGTGTGTTTTTTAAAAAACTTAATTTCAAGTTGAAAAAAAAAAAAACGACAACAAGACGAAGATAAGCAGTTTTGTTGCTTTTGTATCCGCAGGATGCAGACAAGTGTCGTTCCAGTTGTTGGCAAAGAAAACGCAACAATGATTTTTTCGTTGTTGTTTCCGAAGAAACTAAACGGCGGAATGAATGCCAACAAAAGTGACACATCTTCGACGGTGTGACACAAAGAACCGAGATACGCCAACGTGGCAAGAAGCACTCACATTTAATGAGTAATCAGCTTAAAGTGTGTCGGTGTGTGTGTGGATGGACAAATACGAAGAGGTGAAGAGTTGCATCCCAGAATGGCTAAATATTAAAGACATCCACTTAATTTGTTTCTAGTGTCGAGTTGATTAGCATTGTTAAGCTAACAAATTGCATATTTAAAAAAAAGAAGACTACTTGAATGGAAGGAGGAGAGAGAAGGAGAGGCATGGCACTGCATTAAGCGGGGAAGTGTAGGGTTAAATAAATATTTTCTTTTTATTTTTATTTAAATAACAAAGTTTTACTCTTATTAAAATTAGGATAAACCAATGGGTGGGGAGAACCGTTTATTGAGATAAGCAGGACTGCAATTTTCAAATAGTAGGATTGTAAAGGACATGGATGTATTGTTGACAACGTTAATGTACAAGGATGCTCATATAGACTTCTTTAAAGATAATTAAATAAAAGGACAGAAGCAATGAAAAAAGTGAGGGCAGTTTTTAAAAATGAACATTTAACAATGAATTCCAACGATTTAAGATTATGTTATATTGCGGATTGTTCTGCAAAGCAAAATTTGATTCTCGACTCTCCTGCTTCGTAAATATATACAGGAGTATTTAAATATGTTAAAATCCCATATGAAACAGCCGAAGTTTCTTAAAATCTGGTCAATGCGGTTTCTATTCCCTTAACAATGGCAGTGGCCATTATATGGCTGTTATTTGTGCCCTGTTCCAGAACCTGCAAGAATCTACTATAAAAAGAATAATAGAAAAATGTTTTCTTCCAAAAAGTTTTAAATTCCTTCGTTTTGAAGGATATAAGTAAATCCATTGCACAATAGACCCACATCCACTTTTTCTGTCCAAAATTATTTCCACGAATCTATATGCAAACCCTAGACCATATCAAATTTTAGCTCTATAATGTCCCCCATTTCGAAATTTAGTACAATTATAGTACGCATATCCTAAATCAGCCCCTCTTTCAACCACAGACACCAACAGTGATACCCAAATTTTAGGATTCCTGTCTTATCCCTTCACTCAATATCAAATTAAGTACATATATTAGTACCATTTAGAACTTGAAAACCCACCACTAGATCTCAATTACAGATACTAAAAGACACCTCCATATCAACTTTCGGCATTCAAGATTTATACATTCACTCAATACCAAATTAAGTACCACTTAGTACTTTTCGAACAGTTATGGAATTACGCCCATATCTTAACCACAGACACCAACAGAAATCAAAATTTCAAGATTTCAGATCTATTCCTTCACGCACACCCAAATTTAGGGCACTTTTCCGAAACCACCTCCATATTACATTTCCAGATAAAAACAGAGGCCTTAATATCAAATTTGAGGAATACAGCTCTATAACTTCACCCATTAACAAATTTAGTATCATTTAGTACTTTTCGTACAAATATAGCATAACTCAATGATTTTTCCAAATACCAAATTTAGTACTTTTTTGTACGTATTTCCAAAACCACCTTAAACTCTTAATCCTATACAATAACAGTGACTCTAAGACTCTCACTCCCAATTTCAGATTTCAAACTCCATTCCTTTCCTAAATACCAAAGTTTATACTATTTAGTACATTTCGTACTTTTTAGTACGTATCTCCGAAACCCCCGCCATGTATCAATCGAACCCACATGCGAAATTTTATTATTATTATTATTTTATGCGATTCTAGCCTGGGTGTAGATAAATCAGCCAGTCACTCATTATATCTTTCAAAACTTACCTCATCGAAATAACGATTTTAGACCCTAGGTCTCTTTGGACCAAATCCGTTTTGGGACATTTGGAGTTGATCCAGCAATGTACGCCTGTGCATCTGTCTGTCTGGCTGGCTGTTGCGCACTATAACTCTCGAAGGCAGTATCCGATGTGGTCCAAACTTGGTACATCGTAATATTATTATAAAACTTAGATTGAGTTCGGAGATGGACAATATCGGTTTACTCCTTCTGGTACCTCTTCCACAAAAAGTGAACATTTTCAAAAAAAAAAAAAAAAAAAAAAAAAAAAAAAATATATATATATATATATATATATATATATATATATATATATATATATATATTTTACTGCACAGAAAAAGAAAGGAAAATCCATTTGTGCTCCATCTTTGCAAATCTTAGTATTTGTATTCGTGATAGGTCAGGTG